TTATTGTTTTTGTGTGGGTGAATGTAGCAATATTAATTTCTGTTCTGTGTCAGGTGGATCACGCTGATGGTTTGAATTATGCTGCTTTGAGCTTCCAACAAAATCCCTCCACGACTAGAAAATCATCAGAAAGAAACCTACAAGACACTGCTATGTATGCACATACAAGGCGCCAACAAATGTAGCATAAATTGTCTGGGTTTGCTTATATAGAGACTCTTTGTGTTTAAACTAATTTGCAGGTGACATCGCAATAACTTGTTTTAAAAACCTCTGTCCGTGGTACTGAAATAACAATGTTCAGAATTATTTTTTGAAAGTATGACTTCATTAATACTGACAAATTATTTAATTAATGACACAAAATATTAATAAACTGCTTATGTATGTACAAACTCACACAAGCACTTGCAGTTTTCTATATGTAATACAATGATTGATTCAATATTAAATTGTAATTGTATTGCTTTTCTTAACACATGCGGATGTAGGATGTGGTTCAACTTTTAATTTTACACATTGTTTATGCCATGCTGTAAGTAAAGCATTTATTTATTTAAATGCTTTAATGTATTTTTAAAACTATATTGTAATTGTGTTATTTGCAAATAAAAATAAGGCCCAAAATTGATGTGGAGGCCAATGTACACTTAACCATTCTGGTAAATTGTAATTAGACAATGTTTTACTTTGTTATAATTAGGGCTGTATGATATAAGTAAAATTTAACAGTGCGATGTTTTATTTTGCAGCAATTTATATTGCGATATGAATACAATTTCAGCAGACGAGTTGAATAGCTCTATTTGGAGTGAAATCATTAACTTTGAATCTTGTAGAGGAGGGAATCAATAAATTGCAAGTATAAATAAATAATAGTGAAATAAGTAGTGAGATATTCAGGTACAGTAATACAATACGATTTTATCATGATATTTTGCCAACGATATTGATAGATCACAATATCAGCGATATATCACAAGAAAATAAATCATATGTATATATTAAAAATATATCATATTGGTAAAATGAAGAGGGAAAAATGCATCAAAAAGTTAAAAGATGTATTTCTTTTATTAAAAGCACATATATTTCTTAGAATTGCAACAATGATATATATTCGATCCGCCATTACGACCTCATGTATATCGTTATTTTGTGATGTAACTATTGCAAATGCATGCATTGCAATATCAATGCTGAAACGATACACATAATGTGCAGCCCTAGTTATAATTGTTCAATGTCAGATATTTTTTTATATCATAATAATAATCAAAAGTGATTATTCTCCATGTTATTACTAGACTGTGCAAAATTAGAAAGTTTATTAAATATAGAAATTGCTGACAATTAGTAAGACACTTGAAAGTTATGGAAAGTGAAATGTATAGAGAATAAATAAAGCAGGCAAACTGGAAAAAATATTTTTTAAAAATACAAATGATATCCTCTGGTGAAAAAATATCATAAAAATTATCATGGAGGCATACAAATATGCTGTAAAAATATCCTGAATTATCAGTTTTCCGTATTTTGTGGTTTGTTTTTTTCTCCCCATGTTTATTTATGCTTTTGAATTGCATTATGTGACCTTGATCTTTACTCCAACAACTTGGCCTTCATTGGCTCCTAGTTGCATACCGCATTAAATTCAAAATTCTCCTCCTTGCATTTAGATCCTTAAAAGGCCTAGCTCCCTCTTATATTTGCAAGATGCCTTTCCCTATATCCCTACTTGCTTATTACGTTCCTCTGACTCTGGCCTTCTTGCTGTCCCTCTGTACCGCCTCTCTTCAGATCATTTAGTGTTATTGCACCCAAACCTTGGAACTCTTTACCACGTTCACTCTGTTCCGTTAATAATATCTCAGAATTTAAAACTGTACTCAAAACTCACTTGTTTGCTACACTTCTGATTTGATAAACTGGCCACTTTGTTTGATCAACCTGTACTCTGCATATTTGTCTCTCAGGTCTTGTTTTGTATTTCCAGTTTGTTATATTTGACTTCCTGTATGTTTGTGTCTACTTGATTACTGTTTCTTTTAATGTCTGTTCGTACTATCTCTTTTTGTTACAATCTTTGTAAAGTGTCCTTAAGCTCTGGAAAGGCACTATATAAATAAAATATATTATTATTATTATTGTTATTAATAGTTTAAAGTGATATATTGTCTGGGTTGGTGTTGCATATTATGCTGCAAAAATCTTGTAATAAACTGCCGGTACATTTTTATTTTATAAACTTATTTCTCTATATATTATTTCAAACTACTAAAATGTCAATAAAAACTGTAGAGTTGAATTTTCAACATTTAAAGTCAACAGAGCAAAGATCAATGTTGTGCAATGCTATTCACAACTGTAAAAAAAAAAAAAATGGGTAAAACTTGTGAATTTGACAGTGTAGGCTGTAAGGCCGGCTGTGAGGTTGCCATCATCATGAATATCCAGACCAATGGCTTCTGGCTCTGAATGAAAAAAAAAGTATATACAATAAACAGCTTACAATAATAAATGTTGCTAGTTTTATAACTGCTGTTTGCTTGTGTTGCTTTCAGATCAGTGATAAATATTGTTTTCACAACAGGATTTGCTGAATCACAAGCACAGGAACAACTCAGCAAGATTGGCCTGTCAGGCAGCTCATGTGAACTGTAATATATTTTTAGTAGTTTTCCAACCACAGGACAGGCCAAGTCGTGCTTATCTTAACACCCACACTCATTACGGCCCACAAACACCACTCCAAGCAGATTGTTTTTTCCACTTCATGCATCACTTTTTGTTCAATTTCTGAGCACTACATTATAGAGCAAGTGTGCACATTGTTTAAATGGCATGTTGATGTACAGTAATAACAGCTCAATTTAGCATGCATTTAACAAATGCTTTAGTATATGCAGAAAACAAACCCCTTTAGAAATGTTATTGCTAGTAAATTTCAGTTCAAATGGAACAGCAAATAATACACTGAATGACACATGAAATTGAGGTACACAATAAAAACAATTATTGCTGCCCTACTTTTAATTAAATTGAATTAAATAAACATTTCTAGTCATCACAACTTACTTCAATCAAACTGACCAAACATATCAAGTTAGGCTTTGTATAACTTTTACATTTTAGTTAAAAACTTATTAAAATAATTTAAAGCACTATACAAATATCTGTTTTCTTGACTTTACTCATTAAGTTATAGTGCATACTGTAAAAAAAAAAAAAAAAAGTTATTCTCCATTAACCTTTACTTTTGTAGTATATTTAGTAATCATAGTAATTCCGGTACTTTATCAAAAACCAACATAACTATTTGGTGGAGGTTGATATTTTAGAAATTATGGGATGTGTTGGGAAAAAATGCATTGAGTGTGTTAACTAGCAACATTAGGAGTTAAGAAATGCAATCCTTTTTTTTTTTTCTTAGTGGGGCAGTTAAAGGGTTAATATTTACAGTTGAAGTCAGAATTATTAGCCCCCCCCTGAATTATTGGCCCCCCAGTTTATTCCCGTTTTATTCCCCCTAAACTTTTTCCTTTTTTTGTTTTGTTTTACAAATGACAAAAAGCAAAGTGGCAAAATAATAATGTATTTATTTAATTTAGTCATAACTTATTATTTGCTTCGTAAATGAGAGACCACATCAATTATATACATTGATTGAATTATAATTCAAAACATGATATTATACTGATATAAATAGGCAGGCACAGACAAAACATTGATCACAGGTTCAAAGACTTTTGCACTTCAACCAGCTTCAGTTTTGGCCATGAATTTCTGCTGTTGCACAATAGCTGTGAAGAATCCTTTACTGTGGTCAAAATGTGAAAACAGGAAGGAAGAAAACATGTTCACGCCAAGCTGCTATTTGAAAAACTTTCCATATGACACCTTACCGAAATACAGTATTCATAAACATTACACAAACAAATATAAAGGTCACACACAAACATCTAACCACACATACATGCACACAACATACAGTGTGGATGTTACGCTACACATTTAAAACAAACAAAAAATACTTTAAACTGTTGATATATTCATTTGTCAATAAACGGTTCATATATTTATGTATAAAAGTGTGAGTCAAGTGTAAACTTTAGATTTGAATGTTTTGAATGCTCCATTAACATTAATGTGAATCAACCAATGGAATGGTGTAAATGTGCTTTTCTTTAGTACAGGGAAGTACAGTACTGTATATATAAGTGAGCGTCTCTGTGTCTTTCTCTTTTGGACTATGTTGAAAGGAAGATGAAACCTCATGGCTTCCACACCAAAACCAGCCTTGATCTTTAATGACGTCTGTAAGTAAAGCTTTCAGACTTTCTTCACACAATTATTAACTTTATATTATTAACAAATTATTAACCTAAATGATTAACATTATTAATAATTAATTTTGATTTAGCTGTTTAAAGCTATGTATCCAAGAGTGCAAATGTGCATTATAAAAACAAGGGTCACACTTTACAAAAGGGTTTCATTAGTTAATATATTGTGAATCAAGTACGATTGATACAGCATTTATTAATCATAGTTCAACATTTACTAATGCATTAATACAATGCAAATCAATGCTTGATAACGTGTTAATGCACTGTGAGTTATCATGAACTAACATCAAAAACTGTATTTTCATAAACTAAGGTTAACTAGCATGAATACATACTGTAATTTAATGAATAATATGATTTGTTCATTGTTTGTTCGTTATCCAACATTAACTAATACATAGTTATTGTAAAGTGTAATCAAAACAAGTAGTCATAGATTAAAATTTTATTAAGCTAAAATTGATATTTAATTCATTTGTCTTTACAAGTGAACTAACCAAATCTAGCCTGGGGATTAATTGTGGACTGTTTCATTTAGGCTTCTTAAATGTTTCATTGTTTATATATACACTTTTAAGATACGATTCTTTTCTTTCTAGATGATTCACCCTAAGCAGTTCTGAATCAGCTGATTTTTATCAATCTTTTAAAATGATTCATTGTTTTTTCATCTTATTGCTTTACCTTTTAACATGTAAGTAACTTTAGTTTTGCTATGCATAATGAATCAGAGTAAAACTAACCATCTTCCCACCCATAATGTTTGATTTTTCTTTTTCTTTTTTATAGGCACGTCAGATAATGCAGATATAAAGGGACAGAATCATGTTATGATTGTTCAAGCTGGAGTCGCTGTTAACTTAACATGTATTTTTCCAAAAGAGTCAAGAACCAGTGTGGTTTGGGTCAAACAAAGAGTTGGAGAGAAACCTCTTCTAATTGCTTCAGCATATCAAGGTTTAGCTGGCAAATATGAAAATGACTTTGACAAACAAAACCGCTTCTTTATAGAAAAAGATGAAGGTAGTTTTAATCTGAGCATCGCAAACACTGAAATATCAGACACTGCAACATACTATTGTGTTGCATATGTGTACGAGTTCATATTTGGGAACAGCACTGACCTCATTGTTAACGGTAAACAGAGCATTTACTTAAATGTTCTTCATTGAGTTCAGTCAAATGAGCATTTTGCTAATTTCTTTTTTTAGCTGGTAAACTGAACATCAAGTCTGAGCATCAGAGATCAGCATCAGAGGATCAGCAGTGCAGCGTCATCTCTCAGAGCTGTGCAGAAGAACACAAGGTCTACTGGTTCAGACAGGGCTCTGGAGAATCTTCCCCAGGAGTGATCTACACTCAGAACAGCAGGAGCGCTCAGTGTGAGAAGAGCTCTGATCTTAACTCCACTGCACACAAATGCATCTACAGCCTGCCCAAGACTGATGAAGATCCCGCCATCTACTACTGCGCTGTGGCTGCTTGTGGACAAATACTGTTTGGAGATGTGGTAACAATCCCAGGTGCACATAAACACAGCATTATTTTCATATTTACAGATCCTCTTTTGCTACTTTAAAACAATTCTGCATTTTTCCTCAAGGTTTTTGGACACTTTGGAAGACTGTTGCTCTGGCGTTGGCAATTTCAAACAGTTTATTAATGATTGTGATCATATTTCTGGGCATGCGGTTGTACAAGTTCCAAAAGAACGGTAGGAATTACTTCAGTACACCTTACTATCTGAACAGTTATTTCATGCACTAAAACCACTGTTTTGTGTTGTAATATTGTATTTCAAGACAGGACACAGAACATTCAGCTTGGTCAATTAATGGTGAGCATTTTAATGTTGAATGTTTAAAATAAAAATCTGATAACTATTTTTAAAACCATTGCTTGTAAAATGATTAGTTGACTTTAACAAATGCATTGCCTTAAAACTCAGAAAAATAAACTACAGTGCTCAGTATACTGTATTTGACTACACCCTATTTTGAAAATGAATAGTTTTATCTATTTCTCAGTGAATATAGGTAATATATTTGGGTGCATTTGAACAAAACAGATTTATTAAACAAATATATTTATTAAAACAATACTTTGGTCACCAAACATCTTTAGAAATAGAAAGATAATACATTTAACAACAAAAGTTCAACAAAAATGCATATATATATATATATATATATATATATATATATATATATATATATATATATATATATATATATATATATGCCTCTGATATAAAATAAATATCAGAGGCATTTATGATGTATATGATATAAAAATGCCTCTGATTGTGAGAGAAAGAAGGACCCCGATATAGTCTTGGAAAACCTTTTACAGAAATCTTGTTGTGCATGCTATCTTCATCTAATTTAAAATATTAACTCATGAGATGCTTGGCTCTCAAGAAGTTTTTATAGGACATTACATTCATGTTTCTCTGTGTTTGTCAATGAACAAAATCAAATATTGAACAGTACAATTGTTCTAATTACTTTTTTTATCATGAAACTTTCTAGACCACAGTAAAGCTCAAAGCATCTACTTAATTTTGTAGCTCACTGGGGTCAAGAACTGTTACTATTTAAAGTTAGGTAGGTGTGAATCACTATAATTGAGTGCTGGCTAACAGTTTTTATTTATTTATTTAATATTATTCCCTAAAATATACACTCAAAAATATATTTTTTGCCCCTTATTTAAAATGAGCTGAAACAGCACAATTCTTGGGATTTCATTGAGACTACTTAATTTATGTTCAATCCCAATAAATTTGTTAAAAGTGCTATAATAACTTAATCAATTTGTATTGGGACAATAGGAATGAATTGTGTGGAACCCTGCATTTTTTACAGTGTACATTTGGGCTACTAATGTTTTTAAACTGTTATTATAAGTAATTTTGTTAGATTAGCTCTAGAATTTGCTTCAGTTCTGACTAATATAATATATACTGCATGCACTGATATAATATTGTAAAGCATCCTAGAAAATATTAATTATAAAGAGATTTGTGAGGGGTGTTCTCATACATGCTGAGCACTGTATGTGCAGAATTATAAAAATGAAGTCTACTAACAGTTCCAAGTTGCAATGGGTTCACATACTTTTTAATTTAGGTCACAATTCATGCTATAGACCATTTTGAGGGATGTAAACAAAGACAGTGGTCCCATGTTTCCTGTTTTACATATTTAATTTCCATAGCTTCAGAAAATCTAAAAAGAGCCACATATTGATAAATAATGTTATGACAGCTGTTTTAACATAAGTTATGTTTCAATTGGCTCTTATTACAGTTATGAAATAGTTTGATAACAAGCAGGAAATGTTCATGGACCAATGACATGACCACATTGAAATGGTCTATTAACTACTAGCTTACTACCTGCCTAATATTAAAACATGAACTGTTCATTAGTAGTTATAAAGCATGATCTTATTCTGCATCTCTAATCCTAAACCTAACTTCTACTGTACCTTCGTAACTATTAACAAACAGCTTATTAATACTTAGGCTAGTAATGTTAGTTAATGGTTTGTTAATACCATGAACTGTAACCTAAACTAAAGTGTTACCAAGTTAACTTGTCACTGTTATGGCAATGTTTTTTATCATTGAAGTAACTATCCGCTTTTACAGTATAGCCTATTTGACTAAATGTTGTAAACTGCTGTTCTAGGATGAAGACAGAGGTGTTTTGAATTATGCTGCACTGAGCTTCCAACAAAAGTCCTCCACTTCTAGAAGACCCAAAGAAAAACATTTAAGATAAACGTACTCATTTATGTAAGGTATCATTAAATATGTTGTGATGTGATTTAACTGGTTTACCCAATCAATATAATGAACTCTTAATTACATGTAACTGTTTGAGCTCAAAATATATAGATATTAACTGTAATGTCACAAACTGAAATTAAAGAATAATATAATGTCATTCATTTATTTTCCTTCGGCTTAGTCCCTTTATTCATCAGGAGTCACCATAGTGGAATGAACAACCAACTTATCCAGCATGTGTTTTACACAGCGGATGCCCTTCCAGCTGCAACCCAGTACTGGGAAACATCCAAACACTCATTATCACACATATGCCAATTTAGTTTATTCAATTCACCTACAGTGCATGTATTTAGACTAGGGGGAAACTGAAGACCTCAGAGGACACCCAAGCAAACACGAGGAGAACATGCAAACTTCACACAGAAATGTCAACTGACCAAGCCAGGACTCAAACCAGTGACCTTCTTGCTGTGAGGCGACAGTGTTAACCACTGAGCCACTGTGTCATCCATGATATAATTTAAAGATGTTTTTTAGTATTTCTGTGTCTACTGTTTTACTATAGATTTTAAATAGCACTCAATAAGCATATTGTTTGGGGTTACATACATTTAAAATCGACTGGTTTGTTGTAAATATCTGAAGTTTAGAATGAAGTCTCTGTCCATGGTGCTGAAATACCATAAGTTAATAGAAACCATTTTGTACAATATTTTGGAGTAATATTGATTGAATTAAAGTGTGCTACTGTACAAACACACACTGTTGACTTTTATTATTGACCCCTACATCAATTAAGTCAGTAAATATATTTCATATATCGAAAAAGGGAGATTTTATATACTTATTAATAAATATAGTTGAATTTAGTTTATTGACCAATGAAGTATCACCTTATAATCCATTACACACACACACACACACACACACATATATATATACACACATATACACACACACATATATATATATATATATATATATATATATACACACACACACACACATATACACATATACACACACACACACACACACACACACACACACACACACATATATATATATATATATATATGTATATATATATATATATATATATATATATAATGTAAAAATTCACTTTTTTGTTATTATTAAAATAAATGACCAAAAAAGATAAAACTGAACTATGCAAATCACTGCTTCACATTATTAGTAAGGCTGTTATAAATTTTAGTTTTATTGCATTATGAATACACTCAAAAATAAGGTTGTGAATCATCTGCATATTAAATATCTTTACTCTTTAATTAATTTAAGAGATTGATCATATTGTGGCACATCACTAGACTGCTTCATTTATTTCTAAAGAGACTGCGTATTTGACAAAAAGAGGTGACGCCCAGTATTATTAATAATCGGTTAGTGAGAACCCTCTAGTGGAGAAAGTCTGCAAAAACTCCTCAATAAGACCTTAAAAAGCAAGGCCTGCAGCATAAAAGACTGCAGTCCAATATATTATACCTAATTGTATGCTAAACCAATACTTTGTAATATATTTCTGAAAAAGTTTGTATTTTATTTTCGGAATGTTTCAATTTTACTAATTAAAAAAGACATTTAATAAAGCACATCAATGTAAAAGTACAGCATATACTGTATACAGTACTTTAAAAATAACATGTTTGTCTTATTAAATTCATATATTGCAACGAGTTAGATCAGCTGAGCGAATACGGTGGTGTGTGTGATTGTTGACTCAGAGAGAGGTGTGAACACACTAGCTGGTCAGTCCTGTGGTTGGAAAATTCTCAAACCGCACCGTGCAAAATCATGCATGCAAAGAGATGCATGCAAAAGCACAAAGGTGCACAAACACATCTAAGTATAAAGCTTGAAGTGTCTATTTAAGCAATTAGCAAACAAGCAAAACATTGCAAATAAATTAGAGTGCGCATTTAATAAATAAAAAACACAATTCTACAGATTTAATAATATAAAAATTCTAAAAAGAAAAATGGATAAAAAAATGCATTGATCTAAATCACCTAAAAAATTAAAAAGATGTTTCAAAAGAGACTTTTCCTTTCGAAATATTCATAACGTAATGATTTAAATGTGTTGTGTGCTGTTAGTAATGTCTGATACTGTATGTTTGAGAAATGTTTATCCGCTGCAGTTCACCTCATCAGTTCTCAGTCTGTACTGAGCTGCTGCTTCCTGTCAGTCAGTCTACAGGAAATGATCTATTTTGTTTCTGCCTTCTGATTTGTTGGTCTCATGTTCAGACAAATGTTGACTTTGAAAAGGAGTTAGGCCTTTTTTGTTTATTTTGTGTAGAATTTAGTAGAGGCACAGCAATTACAGTATATCAGAACATTCCAGTGTTATAACATAACATAACAACATAATACAATGTAAACTATAAATTATGGAGCTTCTACCACCCCAACGTCTGCCAACTACTTGTTTTTAACATATGTTATAATATATTGCTTAAAATGATCTATTTTTATATTTTAATATCCATCTGCTACCTAAATTTGTCAGAAAAGAAAATCTATTAAATGGCAATTATTATGCCAACAAACATCAAAGCAGAATTTTTGTTATCTCTCTTGATTTCTTCAGTGTATGCGCCTAAATCTGCCACAGTGTTATGTAATTACATCAATTAGAAAACAATAATGACCCTGTTAATGGAAAGAATACACTTTGTGTGTGTTTGTGTGAGTGCAAGATATACTTGTGAAGGCTCAACTGTCCTAACTTACAGTAGTACAGTAGTATGACCTATTAGTGAGGACATTTTACAGGCTCTCACTAATTAAAAATGCTAATAAATTGGCCAGAGAATGCTTTTATTAGTATATAATGACTTACACTTGTTTCTGTAGGGGTTGGGTTTAGGAGTAGAGGTATGGTTAGGCCCATAGACAATATCATTAAGCTGACAGAAAAATAATGGACGTCTGTGTAATGTCCGCACTAAAATAGAAAAGTTTGAGTGCGTTTTTGTGTACTTGTTTGATGAAAAACATGCTTGTGTGATACCTGTGGTTTTTTTGTGTGTGTGTGTGTGTGTGTGTGTTCACACTAGTCTTTACACCGATGTGAATCCTTTGTGATAAAGTCATTGCCTTTCTCAAATATTTCTCTCAGCTGTGCAATTGGCATATGATAGTATCACATAGTGAACGGTCCTTTTTCACATTTGAAACTTTAAATTTACTGCAATCAAGTAAATCCATAACATGTTTTGTTGATCTGTATATATTATTCAGTTATAATACAACCCCAAATCAGAAAAAGTTGGGAAAGTATGGAAGACAATACAACAAACATTATTTAATGTGTTCCTCATCATTCTAAAACACATTTTAAAATAAGTTGGAACAGTAAAGCGTTTACCACTCTGTAATGTTGCCATTCCTTTTCACAACCCTTAAAAGACACTTAGAGAGTGAAGACACCAAGTGATGAAGTGTTTCAGGTGTCATTTTGTCCCATTCTTCCTGCAAACAAAATTTTAAGGTTGCCACATTAGGGGGATTTCGTTGTTGCGTTTTGTTTACTTGAAAATGCACCACACAATCTCCATTGAAGACAGGCCGGGGACAGCAGAAAGGCCTTTTAAGCATCTGTTTTCTCTTTCTCCACAGCCAGGCCTTTGTAATGTGTGAAGTGCAGAAAATGTTTTGCATTTTCTTATTAAAATATGCATAGACGTCCCTGGAAAAGGCAGCAGCTTAATGTGCTCCAAAATCTCTATGTACTATTCAGCATTAATGGTGCCATCACAGAAGGGCAAAGTGACCTTTGCCAGGGCCACTGACACAACCCCATACCATAACAGATCTTGGCTTTTGAATTTGCTGCTGGTAACAGTCTGGATGACCATTTTCTTAAAAGGTCCAGAGCATACGGCGTCCATTTTTCCCCAAAAATATCTGGAATACTGATTCATCTGACCACAGTACAGAATTTCATTGTGTGATGGTCCATCCCAGATGCCTCTGAGGCCAGAGAATTTGACAGCGCTTCTAGACACTGTTAACATAGGGCTTCCCTTAGGCTTACTTTGGTAATTTTGGCCAAAGTAGTCCTGAGCCCATGTGGTGAAATTGCTTATAGATGAATGAGGATTCTTGATGCAGAGCTGCCTAAGGGATCAAAGATCACAGTTCAGTTTAGGCCTGAACCTTTGTCCTGAATGCACTGAAATTCCTCCAGATTCCTTGAATCTTTTAATTATGTTATGCACTGTTGAGGGTGAAATATCCAAATGCCTTCCTATTTTTCTCTGAGGAACATTGTTTTTAAACATTTCATTAATAATTTTCTCACATTTGTTGGCAAACTGGTGATCATCGGCCCATCTTTGCTCCTAAAGAACTAGACCTTTCTTGAATGCTGCTTTGAGTGGCGTCTTTCAGACGTTAAGCTGAGGTCCTGACTTTCTGTGCTCATTAAAATTCCAATGGCACTTCTAAAGAGTAGGGGTGTAACCCCGGTCAAATTCCCACCATCAGCCCTTACCCATCATGTCCTCCCAATCATCCTCATTCCACCAAATTGGCTCTATCACTGTCTCTTTACTACACCTATAGCTGATGTGTGGTGAGCGCACTGGTGCAGTTGTCCTGTGGCTGCCGTCGCATCATCCAAGTAGATGCTGCACACCAGTATCATTAATAACATTTTTTACATTTGGCTCTTTTATTTGAGCTAAAAAATTGTGAAGCCAAAAAGTTGAACATACCAAATAATGTGATCTGTTACTGTCAGATACTGATACTGTTCAAAATAAAACAAGTTCCAAATGACATTTCAGATTACATTAAAAAGATGATAATCTAACATCTTTTTCTGCCAGCACATCATGAAAAAGAACTAAGCAATATTTAGGCTTGAGTTGAACTTATTTTTGTCTAAAGCATTTTGTAGGCATGTTTTCAGTGATCATGCTGTTCTTTACAAATGAATGTTCTTCAGAAAACTTTACAC